CCCATCGTGCCCAGCTAGCACATTCATTGTTGAACTTGCCGGCCTGTGCCCGTCCTGTCTTCCCTGGAATGTCTGCAGCCAGGTCTTCTTGCTGATGTGCTGTCCCACCTCTTCTTGCCTAGCACTTGGCCGCTGTTGAAGAGCGGAAGATTAAATCTTTGGTGGCCCTGCTGGTGGAGACCCAGATGAAAAAGTTGGAGATCAAACTCCGTCACTTTGAGGAGCTGGAGACGATCATGGACCGGGAGCGAGAAGCAGTGAGTAGCCTCCCCTGGGGGTCGGCAGCAGCCTGGAACCCCACCACAGGCCAGCGTTGTCCTCGTTAGGATTGGGGTAATTCGGGGAGGTGGCATAAGGCAGAAAGCCTGAGCTGAGGCTGACGGGGAGGAGGCCCCTAGGCAGGGGAGATCAGCCCTGGGCAGTCAAGGACATGAAAGCTGAAGGCTGAGGTCCCACAGAATGTCAGCTGCACAGAACAGGGAGGTTAGTTAGACTTCACAGTTGCTGCATTCCACTTCTGCTTCGCTAGTAGTAAACTCTCAGTAAATATTTGATAGATCTGTAATCCCAGTGCTCAGGAGGCTGAGGCAGGAGGGTCACTGTGAGTTCCAGGCTGGCCTGGGCTACATAGCAAGACCCTGGCTCAAAAAAAAAAAACAAAAAACAACCCGTTAAGTGAATGTTTTGAAGGGATGTTAAGGGTCAGACTTCAGATCAGTGGATAATCTTAGATGGCTTCCTGAGAACGGTTAAGTTTCTAGCTAGTTTTGAAGGAAGAAAAGGAGTTGAACTGACAAGAACGGGAAGCATTTTCCAAATTAATGGTAAATTCAAAGCTTTGGGGCTGCAGTGAGCCAGGGCTTCCGTCGCATCACCTCTGCTGCAGTGGAAGGCAGTGCAGGCGGAAGGTCGCGGCGCTAAAGGCAGGTGGGTGGGAAGGACGGGGACGACAAAGGGTTTAGATTTCGGGACCAGCACGAGCAACAGGGTCTTTCAGGGAAGACAAAGCAGGGGGCGAAGCATTTGCCAAGGGAGCTTCCGAAAATTCAGTAACAGTGCTCGTTGGCACTGGCAGCTGGAGTATCAGAGGCAGCAGCTCCTGGCCGACCGGCAAGCCTTCCACATGGAGCAGCTGAAGTATGCGGAGATGCGGGCCCGGCAGCAGCACTTCCAGCAGATGCACCAGCAGCAGCAGCAGCCACCGCCAGCCCTGCCCCCGGGCTCGCAGCCCATACCCCCCCCAGGGGCTGCTGGGCCCCCCACAGTCCATGGCCTGGCTGTGGCCCCAGCCTCTGTGGCCCCTGCCCCTGCCGGCAGTGGCGTCCCTCCTGGAAGCTTGGGCCCTTCAGAACAGATGGGGCAGGCAGGGCCAGCGCCGGGGCCACAGCAGCCACAGCCAGCTGGAGCCCTCCAGCCTGGGGCAGTCCCTCCGGGGATACCCGCCCCTGGACCCCATGGTAAGTGGTGAGTTCCAGAGCTCTTGCTGACTACGGGAATCCAGGCGAATGACCCAGTTCCCTTTGGAGGGGTGACATGATGGGCCCGGAGGCACGGACTGGTCAGTTTCTACAGACAGACCCAGCTCTGTTATGTCCCTGAGTCAGTAGGAATTTCTGTCCAAACCCAGGCCTTTGGGATTTACATTTACTCTAGTGTCGGAAAAAGGGAAGGTGGCATCAAGAAGGGTCCAGCTTATCCTTGCCGTGAAAATAAGTTGCGGCTGGGCGTGGTGGCACATGCCTATAGTCCCAGCATTTGGGAGGCTGTGTGAGCGAGTCTGGTCGGGAGTTGTGGGCTACACAGTGAGCGCAAGGCCAGCCTGAACTGCACAGCGAGACCCTGCCTCAAAAAAGGAAAAAAAAAAAAGAGAAAAATAAGTAAGTTGTGAAGCGAGGTTTTACTCCTCTAAGCTCTTCTATCCTTATGTCCGTTCTCAGGCCCCTCACCGTTCCCCAGCCAACAAACTCCTCCCTCAGTGATGCCAGGGGCAGTGCCAGGCAGCGGGCACCCAGGCGTGGCGGGTAATGCTCCTTTGGGTTTGCCCTTTGGCATGCCGCCTCCTCCCCCTGCTCCATCCATCATCCCATTCGGTAGTCTAGCCGACTCCATCAGTATTAACCTCCCGCCTCCTAACCTGCATGGGCATCACCACCATCTCCCATTCGCCCCGGGCACTCTCCCCCCACCTAACCTGCCTGTGTCCATGGCGAACCCTCTACACCCTAACCTGCCGGCGACCACCACCATGCCATCTTCCTTGCCTCTCGGGCCGGGGCTCGGATCGGCCGCAGCCCAGAGCCCTGCCATTGTGGCAGCTGTTCAGGGCAACCTCCTGCCCAGTGCCAGCCCACTGCCAGGTGAGAAGGGGCCAGGCGGGGAGAAGGGAAAGGGAGACGGGTCTGCAGGGAGGCAGGGCGGGCAGGTGGGGAATTGGTCAACCATTAGCATTTCCACAATCCCTTGGAACACTGGTGAACTTAGAATACAGGAGGAAGGGCCTCTGTGGCCCTCCACCATGCCCCATCCTGGCAGCTGCCGCCTCTGAGATGACGCTGGGGCCTTCCACTGGTGGGTCATGGAGGAGTCCCGTGGCACACAGCATCTCAGCTGTAAACTTGAAAAGCAGCTGCCTGTTTGCATGATGATTGGCGTTCCTCTGCTTGTTCCCGTCATATTCGGATGCCCCATTTAGAGCATTTAGAATTCCTTCAGGGGCAGGCGGCTGATTGGGGTTGATCGATTTTCCCCAGTTAGGATGAACGGCATGGGCAAAGCAAGTTGTATGTCGTGGGTACCTCATTCAGCTGCCTACCCACCGCATGCCGTGCCTCGTCCTGTGTCTGGTGTGCAGACCGGGTCTGGACCCCCTCCCGCACGCCCCAGCTGATTCTCGTTCCTGTTCTCCGCAGACCCTGGCGCTCCCCTGCCCCCGGACCCCACGGCTCCGAGCCCAGGCACGGTCACCCCTGTGCCACCTCCACAGTGAAGAGCCAGCCAGACACCTCCTCCCTCACCCCCACGGAGACCTCGGTTCCAGAACAGCCCTCCCCTGCCGCGGGGACCCTCCCCCAGATGGAGAGTTCATCACTACGTAAGGAAAGCTCCTCCTGCCCCTCCACAGCCCCACATGCCGCAGAGGCGTGCACTTTTATATCGGATTGCTCAAGGACTTCTGTTTAAGAGGTGTTTGTCATGTCCGGCAGAAGGGATAGGACGGGACGGCTGCTCTCGAAGGGCTGGGAAAGGTGTTTATACAAGGCTCTACTGAACCACTTCCAAGGGTGCGCTCCCCTCAGAACTACTGCATTTTGTATGGATAAAAAAAACTGCCCTTTAAAAGGAAGTAGAAAGATTCTAAAAGCCACATTGGAGCTCCCTTCTAAAAATTATCCAGCTCTTACACTTGTTTCGCACGGGGAGGGTGAGCTTTAAGAAGGTGGAATAAGGCTGTAGGGAGAGCTCTGGGGATGGGGCGCGGCACCGAACCTGCCCCCGAGGCTCTGGGTAGCGACGAGTCAGTCCCCTCACCCACTCCCCCGCCATTCATTCATGCTAATCTCTCCTGCTGCTCCTGGTTGTCGCTGTTCTAGGCCATCCCAGCTCCACCGAGATCCCTTCCCTCTGAATGTCAGTTCTGTGTTTGTTTTTAAAAGTCATCTGCTTAGTTACGTCAGCGTATGTGTACTTGGGAGGGACGTGTTTGGGGATTCCTGCGGTAGCTAACGGGAAGGTCGGGCAGTAGGGGCTGCCTGGGCCCATCTGTGAGCTCCTGAAAGGCATGGGGCGCTGTAAGATGGGGAGTTTTTAAAACCTAAGAATGTTGAAAAGCACTTAAGCACCTCCTTCTTACGACTCAAGTAGGTGACTCCCCTAACCTCTGCTCTCCCGCCGCGCCTGGCGGAGCCTCGGGATAGTTAGCGGCTCCCCAGATGAGGCTGCAGGCTCGGGAGCAGGGCAGCCTCCCCGCGCACTTCCTCTTTTCCTCAGCCTTGACGTGGAGGCACGTGGGCTGGGGGCTCTGCGCCAGGTCCTGGTCCCTCTTCCAGGCCCTCTGACCCCCGTGTCCCCGCGCTTCTCTTCCTCTGCGTCTCGGCACCTTCTGTTCAAGAGTTTTCTGTAAATTTTCTCTTTCCTTTTTTTTTTTTTTTTTTTTTTTTATAAATTAATTTGCTTTCAGTTCGATCTTGTGGATGCCTCTGTGTTCTCTTCCCTGTGGCTGCCAGACAGGGCCGTCGGGCTGGGGGCAGCATTCCTGGAGTCGCTCACAGAGCGGTCACTGGGCTGTGCGCCTGCCCCGAGGCCCATCACAGAAGGCCCAGGGCAGCTCAGCTCTCAGCGCTGTGCACTGCTACAGCAGCAGAGGCGCTCACCTGCCCTAAAAATAGCTGGTAAAGACTTGGAAGGACATCTCTACCAGGAAATTCTGTACCTTTGTGCTTTCAGTAGTGGCTTCGGCTGGGGATATAGCTCAGTGGCACAGCACCTGCCCAGCAAGCTCGAGGACCCGAGTTCGATTCCGGTACCAAAAAAAAAAATCTGCTAGAAGTAGTGGCTTCATTCCTTCCCGTATTAGGGAGGAGGCAGGGCCTCACCTCGTTCTGTTGTTGTTGGCTCCCAGCCCTGCCAGTGACAGACAGGCTCGGGCAGTGCTAATATGGCCTGGCGTCAGCTCCACTAAACATTTCCAAGGCTTCCCCACAAAAGGCATTCAGTGTTTGGGAGGGTAAAAGGTTCAGCCAGATATGGGGTGGAACAAAAGGACACCGCCTCCACACACGTCAAGAAGCAGACGGCCAGCCTTGGTCCTACAGGGATTTAGGGCTTTCCTGATCACCAGCGGGGATACCTTTGCATCGTGAATATGTGGGGCCAAGACGGCTGCAATAGGTCCTTCCCCAGCTTTCCCTAAAGCCTGTCCACTGGGCAGGCTTTTTTTCAGCCAGAAATCTCGGTGTCTAACCTTTCCCCCTCACCTACTCGGGAAGGAAAGCAGAACCAGATGGGGCAGAGAGAGCAAGTTTATTTGGTGAATGCTGACAGCAAACATCATCCGAGACCAGGTGGGCAGGGTGCTATGGAAGGCAGCCTAGGCAGCCTCGGGGCCACACACACATCTCACACAGGGCAAGGCACGGCTCTGGGGAGACGGGGCGTCCTCAGCCATTCAGCACCATCCGGACGAGCTCTGGAAAGAGAGGTGCAGTGAGCCAGGGAGCGGGGCTGGGGAGGGGTACGCCAGGGGCCAGGAGACTCAAGACGGTGAAGGCAGCACGAGAGGGCACATGCCCACCGCGGCCACCTCTGGGTCGGTGTGCAGAGCAGCCGCCCTGAGCTGACCAGTTGTCTCTGCCCGGCTCCCCTCTCCCAGCCCACAGGCCCCATCCCCTCCTGAGCAGCAGGAGCACAGCAGAGGCAGAAAGGTTCTCAGCTACGCCTAAAGCTACTGGCAGCCACTGGCAGGAGGAGAGGACAAGCGTTTGGGTTAGGGCACCTCCAGGCTGCCCAGCGGGGACGGCCGGGGTCAGCTACAGCAGCAGAAGGCGGCGGCGGGCAGCCCGCCCCCATATGCAACTCTCCATGCTCCAGGGCCACAAGACCCCCGTAAAGCAAGACTGCCCCACTGGGGAGAGGTCCCACAGGTCCCACACCAGCACCCACGGCCCTAAGACACCCTCGGAGCCTGCTCGGAGAAAAGTGAGGAGGCACCACACTCCCAAGCCGCCTTCCTCTGAGAGGAGCCCCCCTCCCTGCCGGCTCCATGCACACATGCCAGACGGAAGGCAGGGGGCAGCAGGCGAGGACGACAGAGCACAGATGGGGAAGAAAATGAAACACTGGGGAGGGCAACTGGAGGAGAGGCTGGGAGGAGCCGTACCCGCCCCTCGGCCCGTCACCCCGACAGGATATGCCTCACAAACGCTGCAGGAAGGAAGAGACATCAATGGTGAAGACAGGACGCAGACATGGGGTGAAGGGGCAGGCGGTGGGTGACAGGCATTCCACTTACTTCCCAACCCCCACCCCTTCTTGTCAAACCCCCGCCCCCCGCTCCCTGGGCTGGGCCAGGCCCTGCCCTTCGCCCCTCCGGCTCTTTCTGGAGCCCAAGTCCGGGTAAGGAAGCCCCAGACGCGGTCCTATATCCTGTCACTGCCCACTCCGCCAAGGCCCCAGTTCGCCCCTCACCTTCGTAGTTGATACAGCCGTTGCTGTCCTCGTGCCCTGCCACCAGCATCTCCACTTCTTCCTCTGTCATCTTCTCACCTGCAGAGGAAAACGTTTTTGGAACGGGGTGGGAAGTGGGGTCTAATGGTGGCGCCTCAGCTCTAGGACAAGGGCGAAGAGCCTCACCCAGCGTGACGAGGACGTGGCGGATCTCAGCGCCCATGACGGTGCCGTTCCCTTCTTTATCAAACACCCGAAGGCCTTCGACGTAGTCCTCGTAGGTGCCCTGGTCCTTGTTCTTGGCCACAGTCTGCAGCATGGGTAGAAAGTGCTCAAAGTCCAGCACCTTCACATTCATCTCTGCCACACGGGAGAGCAAGTGTCAGGCCGAGGCTCTCACACGGACGGGGTTACGGGGATGACAGCTACACAGGAAATCTCTCAGCGGAAGAACTGGGCTCACCGTCACTCTTGGGGTTCCCCAGGACCTTGAGCACCTCAGCGTTCGTGGGGTTCTGGCCCAGGGCCCGCATCACGTCCCCACACTGGCTGTACAGGATCTTGCCATCGCCTGTCCTGTCAAACAGCTGGAAGGCCTCCTTGAACTCTGAGGAGGCAGATACACGTGTCAGCACGGAAACGGGGTTAACCCAGACTACCTCAGCTCTGCTGCCCAGCCTCCTTTGTTCACGCTGCAGAAACCAGACACCCACCCTGCTGTGCAGCCCAGTCTGCTAGAAGATTATTTCTCTCTCTCCCAACTCAGATGTCCCGCCAAACGATACCCTTCCTCCCGCCTTGGCAGCCAGGTACTATCCGTTTACACACCCCTGCACAGGCAGCAGGCCTGCCCAGCCTCCCCGCTGCTAACTACCACTCAGGATAGGAATTCGCCACCGCCCGTCTGGGGCCTGTCCTTATAAGGAAGTGGGAGCAGCGGCCCGGGACGAGAGGGCCTGCCGCTTCCCACCCTTCCTGTGCAGAGGCCTTCCAGAGAGGGGAGCTGTACCCTTAGCAAACTGCCCTGTGCTCATCTTTACAACGTATCAGGTCACTGCTCTTTGCTGGCTTCACGATTTCAAGCTGGGGGAGGGCGACAGTTACAGGAGAGATGCAGCAAAGTAGCTGATTAAGGGGCCGAGGAGCATAGACAACTTAGAACACCATCCCCGAGCCCCACACGCAGCAGGCAGTAGGTGACCAAGCTGTTTCACAAGCCCACACCACCTAAGACTCACCCAGTGCCTGGGGCTCAGATCTAGAGTGGAAGGGGAAGGAAGAAAGAATGAGAAAGGAAGACGCAAGGTCCAGCAGGGAGAATGGAACCCGGGAGGTGCCCTCCCGCGGTGCTGAACAGATGACAGGCTGCAGTTAGCAGGTAGTAGAGGGGTGCTCCCCAAGCTAAGGGTGACCTCAGCTGGGGTCACAGAGCCTACCTGCCGTCTGGTCCTCGGTGAAGTCGCACTGCCCGGAGAAGAAGGGAGCGGTCAGCAACGGAAGTCCAACCCCCCAGCTTCTATCCCCGTCCCACAAACTCCTGTTTCAGGCTTGGGGAGTCGCTTTGCAGCAGGACAGGACTCTAGACTTTCCAAGCTCACCTCCCACCTTTCAGGCCCTCGGGCTCCCTTTGCCCGCCCTTCCCTCTCCTCGCCCCCTACCCGTGACTCCCCTCCTCGCCCCCAAGCCCCTTAGCTGCCAGGCGCGGGCCCCACCATCTTGACTGCCGAGCTCTGCAGGACCTGCAGTAATGGCTCCGACTTCTAGCCCAGCCTTAGTCTTAGTACATCCCGATGACGTCACCCTCCGCGGCCCCAGCCAATGGGCGCCCGGGCCGAGCTCCTGCGCAGGCAGCGCGGCACTACTAGCCAGTGGGCGGGGCCGAGGTGGGCGGGGCCGCGGCGGTCCTCTCTCCGGAGCCCCCGCCTGGGCGCGGAAGCCTGCATCCCGCGAGGCGGAGATGGGGGGCGGCGCCAGGGAGCGTTCCCGGCACCGCGCAGAAGTCGGGGTACACACTTGCGGAGGGGAGCGGGGGCCCCTGCCCTTCGCCTCCCTCTGAAGCAAACAACAGTCTAGAGACCGAGGAAGGAACCATGTCTTTATTTTGAGACAGTATGTGGCCTCCTACTGGCAGGAGCGCGCTCCCGCCTGCGGGGGAGGGGAGCAAGGGACGGGCCCGCAGGATCTGCGGAAAGAAAGGAAAGTCGCCAAGCCCGGCCCAGGAGAACTCCCCGTCCCGATGCCTGCGCGGGCTGACGGGGTAAACTTGCCTCTCGAGCGCAGTGGGGGCCTGGCAGGCGCGTGTGTCAGCTCAGACGCTTAAGATGTGCTTCAGGAAGGCTGCGGAGGAGCCGGGGGCTTCAGAAGAGACCTTTGCCCCGCAGCGCCCCGCAGGGGCCCAGGCCCCGCCCCGCCTTCTGCCCCAGGCCCCTCACCCTCATAGTTGATGCAGCCGTTGCTGTCCTCGTGTCCGGCCAGCACAGTCTCCACCTCCTCCTCGGTCATCTTCTCTCCTGAACCCCAGACACGGCGTTGGACCCCCAGCTCCCCTCCCAGGCCACTCTTCCGCACGGTGCCCGCTCCTCCCGCCCTGCGCCTTGCTTCCCTTCACCTGCACGGGCAGAGCGCCTTCAACTGGTGACAGCTTTGCCAGGCGAGGAAACTAAGGTGGGAGGGTGGAGACGAGCGCGGGACCCCAGAAGACAAGTGTCTCCCAAACTGAGCATCTGGGGCTTCCCCGTCTCCCTTTCCTCCGCCTTTTGGGGAACGTTTTGGCTCTGGAGGAGCAAGTGTGTCCTCACAGCCGTGCCCTGACCGTGCCCTGAGGACCCTCGTCCCCTCCCTGGCGCTGCCCACCTTGCTGGCCTTCTTCCTGGTCCACTCCCAGTTCTCCACCCCACAAGAGTTCTGGTCCCGGCCTCACCGAGGGTGGTGAGGACGTGTCTGAGCTCCGCGCCCATGACTTTGCCGTTTCCCTCTTTGTCAAACACCCGAAGCCCCTCCAAGTAGTCGTCATAGGTGCCTCGATCCCGGTTCTTGGCCACTGCCTGGAGCATGGGCAGGAACGTCTCAAAGTCCACACGTCGAGACTTCAGCTCTGGAGGTTTGACAGGTGAGAGGTCAGAGTAGGACCTAGGACCCGGTTCCCACCCCACCACAGACCTGTCATCCCTTTCAGCACTGAGGATGTATTTCTGCCCACATCTGACAGTTTCTCAAGTCCTGAGATCCACCCCAGCATCCTCTGGCAGCTTACCAATATTCTACCATGGAAAACTGAGTGCTGGCTGGGGATTTAGCTCAGCGGCACAGCGCCTGCCTGGCAGGCGCAAGGTTGTGAGTTCAATTCCCAGTACCAGAAAACAACAACAACAACAACAAAAAACCAACATTAGAAAAAAAAAGGAAAACAGTGCTAGCCAGGCGTGATGGCACAGGCCTGCAATCCCAGCACCCGGGGGGGGGGGTGAGGCAGGAGGAGTGTCATAATTTAGAGGATACCACAGGCTACATAGTGAATTCAAGGCCAGCCTAAACTACACGAGACCCTGCCTCAGGAAAAAACAAAAAGAAAATTGGGTGCTAGCCGAGTGTGGTAGCGCACACCTGTAATCCCAGCATTCGGGAGGCTGAGGCAGGAGGATCATTGCGAGTTCGAGGCCAGCCGGGGCTACAAAGTGAGCTCAAGGCCAGCCTGAACTGCATAGTGAGACCCTGTCTCAAAAAGACAAAAAAAAAAAAGAAAAGAAAATTGGGTGCTAAGGATATAGTTCAGTGGTAGCAAGGCTCTGGGTTTGATCTCCAGCACTACAGAAAGAAACAGAAAACCCACTTGTTCCAAGCCTCCTCTCACCGTCACTCTTGGGATTCCCCAGGACCTTGAGCACCTCGGCGTTGGTGGGGTTCTGGCCCAGGGCCCTCATCACGTCCCCACACTGGCTGTACTGGATCTTGCCATCACCTACTCGGTCAAACAGCTCAAAGGCCTCCTTGAACTCTGAGATACAAGGAAGGGTCAGCGCTAACCAGTGGTTCCCGTCGCCCTTAGACAGAAGGGAGGTTCAGAAACTGCCACAGGTGGGTCAAACAAGGGAGGAAAAGAGCCTAGTGCAGGAGGCTTCAAGGTTGAGACTGGCGCTAGGGAACAGAACAAGGATCTGGCTAGGGGCTTGGGACTGGACAATGGGCTTAGGAAAGCAGCTTCTCCTCACCCTCCAGCTGGTCCTTGTTAAACTCGATCTGTGGAAGAAAAAAGCAGGTGAAGAGAAATGACAGGGCTTATTCAACCCCTCTCCAGTACGCCTCCCAACCAACTGGCAGCCACTTCTGGGGAGAGGCCCAGAGGGAGCAGGCTGGGAGTGCAGCCACCTCAGTCCCATTCCCAGCTCCAGGTCCTGGGAGAATCCCAACAGAAGGAATTATAGGGGGGAGGGCTTCCTGGGAACAGGGTTAATCCCATGCCACCTGTTCCCCTCCCTCCACTGCCCTGAGCCCTGCATCCCTCACATAACTGGGGGCTGAACAAAAGCTAAATTTACTCCTGGCCCCCAGCTGTGATTGTCTAACAAGTCTGTCCTCTCCGGCCTCCCCTCCTGGGGTTCAGGGCTGCAGCCTTTTGAGCTCAACAGCCCGCCAGGGACAGGCAGCCGCGCTCTCCACCTTGAAGCTGCCCTCAGAACCCAGGTGTTCCCCACTTCACCGTCCTTGCCTCAGCAATGGGTCAGCCAGTGTGAGTGCGGACTGTATCAAGTGAGAGGGAGAGCGCAGCAAAGACGACAGCAGAGCCCTAACCTGGATGCTTCCTGGCTGCAAGAAGCCCCATCTAGTGCTCAGCCATCCCCTACCTCCCGTACTCCCCATCCGCTGGGCTGTATCCCCCGCTTCAACCATGGCCTCGAAATTCTCTCCTCCCTCTCCCAGCACTCACCACCACTTTGGAGAGATCCACAGGGGGCTCCGGGGTTTTCACAGCGGCCTGGGGGACAGCTGGCTCGGCCTTGGTCTTGGCTGGCGGGGTCCCTGCTGCTGGCTTGGGAGCAGGCTTGGCGATGGGGGGCCCTGCTGGTTTCTTCACAGGAACGTCTTTCTTGGGAGGCATGATGTCCGGTGGCCAAAGGACAGTGTGCCGATGGGGGCACCCATCTCTGTTTAAATAGCCAGGGAGTCTGGGATGTCAAGGGGCGGGAGCAGGGGCAGGGAGCCAGTTGGCGGCAGTGAGGTAGAGGGACATGGCTGCCTGCTTTCACTCCCCTTGCCTCCTAGGGTTCAGGCCTCCAGGTTTGTTCCCTCTGTCCACTCCTCCCCCAGAGCTGGCTACAACAATGTTCCTTTGGGGGAAGGGGAGAGGGAGCCAGAGATTGCCTCAACCAGAGGAGTTAACCTCCTGGGCGAGGGCAGGATGCTGGCCTGTGATACTGAGATGGGGGTGAGGCAAAGGAGGGGACCCAGTAGTTTTAGACTCTAGAAGGCCCAGGCAGAGGTGCAGAGCAGGGATCCAAGAAATTTATGGGAATGGGGTAAACTTGAAGTGGGGACTGGAAAGCTGGGGGTGGAGGTGGCGCACGCCTGTTTTCCCAGCATTCGGGAGGCTGAGGCAGGAGGATCTTTGTCAGTGTGAGACCATCCTGGGCTACAAAGTGAGCTCAAGGTCAGCCTGAACTGCATAGTGAAACCCTGACTCAAAAAGACAAAAAAAAAAAAAAAAAAGTGGGGGCTGGAAAGAGTGAAAGGCTTAAAAGAAAAGCCCCCCATCGGTGACTGTAGGTGAGGAGTGGGAGTAGTTGACCCCATGATCTAATAATTTCCAATACTTATAGTCCCAGGTCCCATACCCAGGGCTGGAGGTGTCCCCATTAATAGGGGAGTACACTGTCTTCTGCATCCAGTGCTGATTTGGGAGGGGGTGCAGAGAAGGATCAGGATTAGGACACGCCACTCATACTTCCAAGGAAGAAACCTGCCCCCCAAATCCATGGTCAGTCAAGTCAGACAAAGGGCAGGGTGCTTGCTGAAGCTGGCACCTGGCTGGAAGGGTGGGTTTGGGGAAACAAAAGGCCAGTATTCTCTAATCCAAAAGGATGCGGGAACTCCCGTGGGCTCGAGGGGTACTCACCCCTCAACCAGGGACATAAAAAAAGCCCTGACTCAAGCTCCAGGTCACAGCCTTGCTGGGGTACTGAGGAAGGTGGGGGAGGGCGCTGAGGAATGAGGAGGGTGCTGGGTACTTTGGTTCTGAAAGGAGAAGGATGCAGGCAGCGCTCCGCGGAAGACAGTAGTGCAGCAATTCCACCTGGGGTTCAGGGAGTGATGCTGGGTCTCCCATTGGAATCTCATTGCAAATTGTCCCATTTTTTGAAAACAAGGACTCATTCCTCCCGTGGATAAGAAAACCATCTCACACACCCACACCCCCTAAATATTAAAGGAAAGAGGCCCTCCCTAGCCCCCAAAACTCACCTTGCGGGGTCCGGTAAGGGGCGGGGGCGGGACGCAGCGCAGCTCCCGGCCCTGAAGGGTTAATTCCGGAGCATGCCGGGAGTTGTAGTCCACCGCGCGCAGGCTCACGGGAAGCCCCTCCGCTCCAGGCCGGCGCGGGGGCGGGGCTTCCGGCTGGCAGTGGCGGTTAGTGAGCCGGACTCGCCGTTGTCCCGGAAGTGAAAGGCAGTGAACGGCCCCCGTGCTTGACCCTAAAGCCCTGGGCGCCCCTCGGAGTGTTCCCTCCCCCAGCGCTGAGGTTGCGGGTGCAGTGTGGGCGGGGCGGTTTTCCCGCGTCGGTGGAGCGAGAACACGCAGCAGGGGA